TCCAACTTTTTCCCCACCTCAAAGCCTTTGCACATGCCGTTCCCCCCGCCTAGAACACTTTTCCTTGCGTTTTGTTGTTTTTCTCATTCTCAGATTCCAACCTACCCTGTCTGGAATGGGCCTCCCCTGCAGTTCTCTGTGCCGCACAGCCCTTTCTTCCACTCCGTGTTCACAATTGTAATATTAGGATTGGTTTAGCAGACGTTCCTGTTTTTGTGTTTATGACCTAGCTCTGCCCCAGAGCATAAGCTCCCAGTGGTTGGGGAATTTACCTGTGCTGTTCAGCACAGTGTCCCCAGTGCATAAAATGGGGCCTGGAACACTGTAGGTGCTCAAGAATGAATGAATGAATGAATGAATGAATGAATGAATGAATGAATGAGGCTAAGACTTGCTGTGCCCAGTCATACAAGGAGGTAGCCCCCGAGAGGTCTCGGTTTCCCTATCAGCTTCATCACAGTCCCCAGGAACTTCCCCCCACCCTGGGCAGCACCCTCAGTTCCCAGGGTCTGAGTGTCATCAGGTTAGTAACAAGGAACTTTCAGAGAGGGGCAGTGGGTTGCCCAGGGTCAAGCAGCTAGTTCTGACCTAAGTGGAGCTCTCAGGCTGGGGAAGAACCAGCCTGCTGGCCCTGGATCAGAAAGGAGACTCTGCCACTCACTCACAGGGGGACCTTGGGCACATCTCCTCCTCTGAGGCCCAGTTTTCCTCATCTGTAGAATGGGCCCAGGGCCCTGTGCCCTGGCCTGGCTGAGAGTTGAGGCGGTGCTGGGCACACTGAAGGTGTGTGGGTAAATGTTAGTTGCTTTTCACTTTTTTTTTGGCCAGTGACCTGGGGTGGGTTGTGGGTGTCTAAGGGCAGGGGTGCCAGGACACTGGCATTACAGCTTAGTCGGTAGGGGCTGAACCTGAGAGGCAGCGCCCGCCCCTTCCCAGTGCGTAGGACCTCTGAGCCTGCGGAGCCTCAGTCTCTCTCTCCTTGCCTCGCCCATGAAGCCTGCTCTCACCTGAACAACCTCTCCCTGCTGGACCTTCTCCCAGCCTGGGCAGCCTGTCCTAGCTGAGAAAGCGCTGTCCCGCTCCCGGCAACCTTCCCCTGCCTGGGCCACCTCCCTCTGCCCTACAGTCTCCGCCATGCCCAGACTGTGCAGCCTCTCTCGGCTCCTGTGGCCACATCTCACTCCAGCCCCACTTTCCCCAGGCCAGGAGGGGCTGGCTGCAAGGCAGAGAAAGAAAAAAATGCTTCGAACCACAACTGCTTGAGGCCATGAAGGGGGAGGGTTGGGCAGGTCTGGCAACCTGCCTTGATCTCTCTCTTGCCCAGGAGGCCCCCACCAGCCTGCCCGGCCTGGCCCCGAGTGTGACTGATGTGTACTGAGGAAAGTTTGCAGGGCCTGGTCCCAGTCTGCATCATCAGGCCTTCTGGCAGATGGTGAAACAGAGGCTCAGAGAAGTCCAGAGCCTTGCCAGGGGTTGCACAGCCAGGAAGAACCAGGGTCTGAGCAGGGAACCAAGCTGGTACACTTGCCCCACCTCCTTGGGGACAATTTGCATAACCAGATCCCCTTGGGGGCTATGGGGACCAGCGGGCTGGGTTGCTGCTGCAGGTGTCCTGGCCGGTCGGGCCTTCAATGGGCTGCCTGCCCACACCTCGGGGAAGTGAATATTCTCAGGTTGTTTCAGAATTTCCAAGTTTACTCAGAGCTCTCACTTAAGCTGTCATAAAAAGTCCCT